ATAAGCTAAGCGTTCAACTCGGGAAGTTAGAATTAAAAATAGTAATGATACCCAAAGAACGATGAAAAATAATAATAATGTTGATTGAAATAACTCAGGGGATATTTTTCAGAAATAAGTACTCTAATTTATTTTGTGTATGAAGTACTGTAAGTTATATGAAGACACTTACAATAAATTAAAATATACACTGAAAAGCCTAGAGCACTCTCTAAAACTTTTAACTTTAAGAGGAATCATAACTTATACACCATTAGTAGAGGTAAAATAAAAATTTTTAAATGCAAGTGACCAAAAAGAAGACATAAAATACACACACACACACACACACACACACACAGAGAGAGAGAGAGAGAGAGAGAGAGAGAGAGAGAGAGAGAGAAACATACAACTGGCAAAGTGATAGGTTTTAATATAAAACCCTATCAATAGTTACGTGAAAATGGTCTAAACACCCACTGACAAAACAAAAAAGATCACAAAGACTTCACAAAAAAGATCAGGCAAATAAAACAAACCAAGTACATGGAGTTTTTAAGAAACTTAAGTCTGGAGCTGGAGAAATGGCTCAGCAGTTAAGAGGGCCGGGGTTCCCTTCCCAGCAGCAATATGCCAGCTAACAATCTGCTGTAACTCTCCAGGGGATCTGTCGTCCTCTTCTGGCCTCCGTGGGCATCGCATGTATGAGGTGCACTTACATGCATACAGGCAAAACACTCATACACATAAAATAAAAATAGATAATTTTTTAAAAGAAACTCAAGTTTAAGTATAAAGGTTAAAAGGAGAAAGTTGAAAATATATCAACCATCCCAACACAATTTAAAATGGAAAACAGCATTTGGGACTGAGGTGTAAATCAGTGGTAGAGCACTTACCTAGCATGCAGAAGACCCCAGGTTAAATGTCCAGTACCACACAAGTTAGATAATTTTACAAGGCTGAACTGGCTATACTAGTTTCAAACAAAGTAAGCTTCAGATAGAGGAGTACTACCAGTATAAAGCTCAATGCATAAAGAAACTGTTTGGTTAAGAGCACTGGCTGCTCTTGCAGAGGACCCAGGTTCAGTTCCCAGCACCCATATGGCAGCTAACAGTCATCTGTAACTCCAGTTCCAGGGGATCCAAGGCCTTCTTCTGACCTCTGAGGGTCACCATTGCATGACACGGATGCACTTACACACATGCATGCAATACATTCATACACATAAATTTTTTATTTTAATTTTTAAAAAAGCTGAGAGGGCAGGAGAGATGGCTCAGTGGTTAAGAGCACTGGCTGCTCTTGCAGAGGACTCAGGTTCAATTCCCAGCACACAAGCACACTCAACTAAAAAAATAAAAACTAGGCAAACTAGGCATCTGGTAAATGCTTGTAATCTCAGCTGCTTGGGAGGCTGAAGCAAGAGGATGACAAGCTGGGGGTCTGGCTGGCTACATAGCTCAAGGCCAGCCAGGATAATGTACCGGAACCGTTTCAAAATTTTTGGAGTTGGAGATGTAGCTTAGAGCTAGGTAGCGCCTGCAAGGCCGTCTTCAATCTCCAATCCTGAGAAAGCAAAAGCACTATTAACATTGGGTCTCCTTTTCACGTCAGTGACGAGGTTGTCACTGCTCTATGATGCTATGGTGGCATCCGTATTCTAATGAATGAGTTTAATAATTACAGCAGCATGCTTGAAATTTATGGAAAGGAATACTGAAAACATTTGAAGGCAAATATGTTACTGGCCTTGAAATTCCTAAGCTGTGTTTTCTGTGTCCAAAATTTATTGTGAACATTTTACATCGTGTCCCTTGATACTAGAAAGTAGATCAAGCCCTACCCCATAAATACCATGATTAAATCACTAAGTTCTTTTTTGGTGCTGGGTATGGTGGTACATACCTGTAATCCCAGCACTTAGGAGGCTGAAGTAGAAGCATCATGAATTCTAAGCCAGCTTGGCCTCCATCTTAAAAAAAGATTCATGTCGCACTGTGTCATCCTCATTTGCAGAGGCTGCGGTTTGAATGAGAAATGTCTTCCATAGGCTCATGTGTTTGAACACTTGGTCCCCAGACGGTGGCACCATTTGGAGAGGCTATGGAACCTTCTGGGAGCCTTGATGGAAGTATGTCATTGGAGGAGGGCTCTGAGGGTTTATGGACTGGCCCCACTTCCTGTTCCCTCTCTGTTTCCTGTGTATGGGTGAAATGTGATCACTGTGCTTCCTGACTCCAAGGCCAGCTTCACGTTACTGCTACTGTACCTTCCCCACCGTGATGAACTGCATCTCCTCTGGAAGTGTAAGCCAGAATGAACCCCTTTCTCCTCTAGTTGCTTTTTGTCAGAGTATTCTATTGAAGCAACAGAAATGCAATCCAACAGAGGATGAGACATAGGGTGTTTGTGATCATGAACAATGTGTTTACATCTGATGCTCAGAGGCAGAGATGCTCCACAGAGGACTCTGCCTTCTCCTGAACTTGTGGCAGACTCACCTGCAGTCAGAGAGCTGGGGCCCACCCAAGTCTCTGACGTAGTAAGAACCTGCGGTTGTAATGAGGTTCCAGTGAGGCAACTGCTGTTGGTCTAGGGACTCCCATTTTGAGAAGCCTTGCCCTTGATTGACAAAGGTCTGTGATTAGTTGGGTCCTGTGGCTGATGAGAGAATATGCTTGCCGAAAGTATTTTATGAAGCTCTCAGGACACTCCCTTCACCTTGGGCTCACTCTGTTACCAAAATGCCACCAGAATCCACTAGAGGTTAAGGACAACAAGTGCTGGCAATAATAAGAAACTATGCCCGTCATGGTGTCACACAGCTTTAATCCCAACACTTGGGAGGCAGAGGCAGAGGCAAGTGGACCTCTGTGAGACTGAGGTCAGCCTGGTCTATATAGCAAATTCTAGGCCAGCTGGGGCTGCAGGGAGACCCTGTCTCAAAAAAAAAAAAAAAAGAAACCCTCCTATGTTGTTAGTGGGAATATAAAAGGGTTAGCCAATTGGGAAAAGCTGGCAGTCCTCAAAGAGCAAAATACAAGGTCCACGTAAGGCAATTCTGCTTCCCTGTGTATACCCAGAAAACTTAGAAACAAAGTCACACAAAAAACTTGTTCACATTGTCATGAATGTTTATGTTTGTGATACAGTTACTCCTAACAGCTGGGCATAATGGTGCACACCTTTAATCCCAACACTCAAGAGGCAGAGGCTGGTGGATCTCTGTGAGTTCAAGGCCAGCCGGGTCTACATAGCAAGTTCCAGGTCAGCTGGGGCTACAGGAGACCCTGTCTCAAAAGCACACAAAAAAAATTATTCCTAACAGACAATGGAATGTTTTTCAGTCTTAAGAAATGTTCTAGGGTTAGGGTTAGGGTTCTAGGGATAACACAGCCCTCAAAGGCTAACAACCAAAACATGAAAGAAATGTTCTGGTACGTGCTACAGCATGGGGAGAGCCTTAAAACATGCTTCAAAGCCACTCACCAGAGGCTAGTTATTACTATTTCACTCATGCACAATGCCCCAAATAAAAACTCACAGCAATAGAGAGTGTTAGCAAGAGCCTGGTAAGAGGTTAGGGGTTGAAAAATGGGAATTGACTACGACTGGGTACAATGCTGTTTGGGAAATGAAAATGTTCTGAAATTATATAGTGCTGATGGTCGCACAACTCTATGAATATATTAATTAGCTCTGAATTGCATAAAGAGGGCACATTTTATAGTATGAGAATTCTATTTCAATAAAGCTGATACTAATAACTTAAAAGATTAAGCCAAAACTGTGTTTGTTAGATTGCCTGGCAGAGGGTTAAGTATTCAATAAATACTAACATATTTAAAATATACTAAATAACACATTTTTTTAAAATATTTTATTATTTTTACATGTATGCATAGGGAAGTGCACCTGTATCATGCAATGCCCATGGAGGACAGAAGAGGCCGTCGGATCCCCTGGAACTGGAGTTACGAACAGCTGCCATGTGGGTGCTGGGATTCGAACCTGGGTCTTCTGCAAGAACAGCCAGTGTTCTTAATCGCTGAGCCATCTCTCCAGCTCCACTAAATAACACATTTTACCTTCTTTTTAGAGATGTATTTTGTGTGTGTTTGTGTGTTTGCCTGTATGTATGTACATATGTGTACCATGTGTGCTTGGTGCCCACAGAGGTCAGAAGGCGGTGTGGGGATTCCCTTGAACTGGAGTTACTGTTAGTTGTTAGCTGCCGCGTGGGTGCTGGGAACTGAACCCAGGTCCTCACAAAGAGCAAGTGCTCTTCGTAACTGCTGAGCCGTCGCTCCAACCCCCATTTTAAACCGCTTCAGTACATAGGGACTGAACTGGAAGTATCATGCTGGCAGAACTTAGATGTTTTGTTCACTACCTACAACTATGCCCCGTAATCTAGCAGGCATTCAGAAGAGAGTCTTTGAATGCTGAAATACTCAAAGACAGAGAGTGCGGGAACCCCACACACCCCTTCCAAAATTCAGATCAAGATCTTCCAAATAGGTGCTAAACACATGCTGACTACAGGAACCAGTGAGTGCCGAGGAAAGACGGTGATGATTCAGAAAAGTGAAGCACGATGAAAGAGGCAAAGGGTTTAGAATTTCCAGTTTATAAACTTTTTATTTAAAAAATAAAATTATAAACAAAATACAGAAAAATATTGACACCTGTGGTAACAAGAAAAAGAGTTTTCACTCTTTAGGGCAATTAGTTATTCTGAGAGAATAAAATCATAAGATTTACAAGGAGATTTTATCAGGGAAGGAAGAACATAGTGTCGCAGTCTCACAATGGGCATCGGCATGACAAACAGTCCTGTCCCCTCGGCATTCTGCAGCACACACACTTTAAGCTTCGTTTCCAAGTTCTGTGCCATGCAGTTTACCTTGCCATCAAAAACCCCTAAGGTGCTACTACAATTGGTAGGAGTGCAATGTAATATTGGAAAGTAAGTTTCAGTTCCTCCTAGGTCAAGTGTGTTTTTGCTACTTTAACAGATTTCAAGGATGGCTTCTTCCCATGGAAGCCAAGCCTCTTCAAAATAAATTAAATAGGAACTCAAACATAGCCAGTTATGAAATGATACAATGCTTCCCCTCCCTCTTCGATATTAAACTTTCAACGAAAGTTCTTTTACAAAGTTGGGCTGGATTACAGATACAAGTTGTAGAATTTTTGCTTCCTTTACAAAGATGGCTGCAGTGCCTTCTCCTTTCAGCTCCCTAAACGAGCTGAAGTTCACACAGTAGTTTTCTGAAAACACAAAGTAGTTTCCTCCATTTTCCAAACATATTTTTCAAATCAACTACTTACTCATTAGCGATCTGGACTTCTTGTTTAGTTTTTCTAAATTACAAGAGTTACCTATTCTAGTTCCTGAATATTCCTCCAATTCATTTTTAACTTACGATTTTATTAAAATCAACATAAATTACAAACAACTCCCACAACTGAAGGTGCTAGATTCCACGGGGCCTGTCTAGACAAGGCAAATGAAAAATCAAGATTAGAATTCTCAGGCCTCCAGGACCATCTACATGAACCAAATCTGCTCATATCGTCCCTTCTTGGTTATCCCAAATTGAGTTTTTCTTTTGTCCATGATGACGATGACAAGCAATGGGGAGATGACGCTGGGTGGGCTGAGCTCTTTCTTCCTAGCTGTCCTCAGGTTGTGACTTCGGCTCCACTACATAACGGCTGGCAGCTGACAGCAGGTTGCTGAGTTGAAACCACTTCTAAGTCAGATTCACGGACAAAAACCACTGCATCACCACTTACATTTATGAGACACTGCGCCTGTAAGAGCAGCAAACAAGTTCAGGTGCACGCAACAATGCGCTGGTACACCTGGCACCCAACGGGCTCAGGTAAGATAGCCAAAGACAGCAGAGGTTGATAGACACAAAAAAGGGCAAGCCCAGGAACGTATGACAAAATAACGAAGCCTCTGATTAATCAGAGATATTTCCATTGACAATGAGATACCATGTCACATACACGGGGGGAAGTGACATCTGGCTATTACTCAGTGTTGGCGGACACGGAGTAACAGTGCCATGGAACTCTGAGGAGTCATTCAGCAGTATCTCACAAAGCAGAAAATGTACTCATGCAATCCATCAGTTCCAGTCTTGTTTCTCATATACAGAAACACACATATTTTTAATACACATCTATTTTTCCCTAGAGAAAAAGCTTGGGTATGTATATAAAAAAAAAACCGTGTGTGAGTTATTTATTTCAGCAAGTTTGTAATAGGAAAATACTAGAGTTAATCTAAATACCATCAAGGAAATGAAAATACAGAGTATTTATGCCTGAAATACCAAACAGAAATGAAAATAAATTACATAAAACTACTGACATGGATAAATCTCATCAGTGTGATAAATTAATGAAAATAATGTGCAAAGTAATTTCAATGGAGGGAAATTTTGTCACCTTGCTATGAAAACCACAAAACTGCTCTGACCTAACGAGCTGACCGAGTCTAGGGAGTTTTCCTGAGGGCGCACTCACACTTGTGCTAACCATGGGTGTCTGATGCTGTTCTTAGAGCACTGTGTATGTAACCATAGCATTCATTAGAAACCATCTAACTGCTCATCAGCAGAGAACTGGTTAAAGACATTCTGCACAATCAACAGTATGAGAACTATGTGGTTGAAAGAACAATGAAGGTGATCCTTGAAGTGGTGCAACCAAGAAAGATTAAGTCAAAAACCAGCCAACCAACCGACAAAACCCCCAGCCACAGACGTTTGTACAGTAATGCTACCATTTATGCAAAAAAGTAAAAATATATATTTGCTTATGTGATTCTAAAATGTCTCTGTGTGTTACATCCTCTGGAATAGAAGTGACATTTTAAAAAAGGCACTAACATCTTTGGTTGCATGTAGTAAAGAAACTGATTGGCTGGGATACAGGGCAGGAAAAAATATTCTATTTTTAGTATCTTTTGTGAATTTAGATCATGGATGGCTCACTTGAAAATACATTAAAACATCACTGTAAAATGAGACAATACCTATTGTCCTCGTCACTTTCTACTGCTGTGATAACACCACAACCAAAAGCAGGATGGGGAGGAGGGTCTGTTTGGCTTATAGCACAGTCCATCAAGGAAGCCCAGGCAGGAACCTGGAGGCAGGAACTGAAGCACGGACGTGGAGGAACGCTGCTTACTGGCTGCTCCTCTGGCCTGTGCTCAGCCTGCTTTCTTATACAACCCAGGATCATCTGCCCAGGGGTGGCACTGTCCACAGAGGGCTGGGCCCTCCCACTTCACTCAACAATCAAGAAAACGCCCCCACAGGCAAGTCAATGGCCAATCTCATAGAGGCAATTCTCCAATTGAGGCCCCCTCTTCCCAGGTGTGTCAAGTTGACAACCAAGGCTAGCCAGCGTAGTCTGTGCTGTCATGTGAGACCTTTTAACACAGGCAAGCTCATGCTGACTTCTATTGTGTTCAAGCAAAATCCATCAGACATTCAGCCTACATTAGCTCATGACTTCCCCAGTTTTAATCCTAATCTTCCAGATGAGGGGACCAAGGTACAGAGAGGTTCTACTGTGGATAAGCTGATTTTGAGGCACTTGTCAAAGAGTGAACAAATTATATAACTCTAACACCAGGAAAAACTAAAACTATGAATCTAATCTGAAATACAAAATAATTCAAGAAAAGATATTTTTAACAAGACAGAAAAATACTATTGAAGTATCGCAAAGTACCCAGTTAAACTTAACTCCAGGGTCTGCAGGAGGCTGGCTGTGACCTGATGGTATCAAAACTGTCCAGATGAGTGCAGTGAGGACGCCCCACATTTCTGCTTCCACCTCCTCTCCAGTGACCTGCAGAGGTTCTCGGCCTCAGCCTGCTTTCCTACCGACCTTCCCTCTGCTCTTTCTGCCCCCGTTGTTCATGGCACAAAGTCTCCTTGGCACCAGATCACCAATAGATGACCATGAATCTACCTCTCAGTCAAGATGCCTGGCAGGCTTCCCTCACTACTGCAGCCTGCCTTCCGCAGCACCAACCTTTATCAGGAAGCTGTCTTCCCATCTGACAGCGTGACTGTTTTTCAACACTTATCAATGAAGTGGAATATACTCCAACAGAAATGTGTAAAGTACCAGGAAAGGCTGAGAAGTGTTATTAACGGTGCACCTTCTGAAAAAAACTAAAGCTAGTGGTTTCAAAATAAAATTAAAATCTTTTAATTTTTATTTTATTTTTTAGTTTTAGTGTTTAATTTTTTGGAGGCAAGGTCTCCCTATAGCGCCAGCGAGCCCAGAATTCCCTATGTAGAGCAGGATGGCCTCGATGCCACTGAGATCCACCTGCCTCTGCCTCCCCAGTGCTGGGATGAAAGGCGTGCACCACCATGCCTGGCTGTAACATGTCAGTAATTTAAGACACTAAGTTGTTTTTTAAATGGAGAATGGGAGGGCAGGGCTGAGGAGGGAGTATGCGGAGGGAGAAGTGACACTGAAGGCCTTTAGGAAAGTCACATGAAACCTACCCTTCTAGAACTTAAATACATACACATCATAAAGAGATTAAAAGGAATCACCCTGTAAAAGGGGACACTGCCCCTTCTAGACATCATATGTTAACAAAAATCCCTCAATGCCAAGAATGGATTCCCTCTCAAGAACTTGTTGACCAGGGGCCCCATGGACCCTCAAATAATACTAGGCATTGCCCCTTGTCTTGATTAGCACCAGAAATTGATGGTAAGACCCTATTGCTAAAGACACTACATACATGAACTGTAAAACAAACAAGGAGAAATCAAGCTGGTGCTGACTTTAGAGTCTCATCTCTACTGGCTAGTGTTCATAGTGCTGGAAGGTGCTATGTATGCTACCGGAAGAGAAAAATAATCATCAACCCTATACAGCTGTGAATTCTGGGACCTATACTAACAACTGGCCTAGCAAGATATACCCACCAGTGCAACAGTGGCATGAATAATATGAGAGTCCTATTTCTAATTGGATTTAAGGTCTCCTTCACAAGATGGAGTCCATATCTGACACTGACATCAAACTTAGGATCTAAGGCTAGAAAGGTCACAGGCCATAGGGGAGAGCCTAATACTAGTTTTCTACTAAATAGTTATTGTATTAAACTGATTCCTAATGACTTATTATACCCATAGATTAATGCATCTCTCAGCTCTCACCAGAGACATTTCCTTATGCAGCAGATGGTGATTAACAAAGAAATCCACAACTGACCAATTTAGAGAGCAAGAGGCTGCAGAGTGCTTGTCCCCGAACAGGACACCTCGGTCAAACCTCTGCCTCCCAAGGCTCAGGATCACTGTAGAGAGCCACAGGTGGCGGATGACCACAAGGAAACAGTTTTCCAGCAGCTGCTCAGTTACTCATATGAATTCACAGCAATGGTGACAGCGTCCCAAGTCCCATGAGAGCTCAAACCAGAAAAAAAATTCCCAGCAGAGACATGAGGAAGTCAAAGAAACCTCAACGCAAGGTATGGAACTTTTGGCGACCAATGGCTGCTGGGAGGGGAGTCAGTCCCTTTAAGCATAGGACTCTTGGTAGGTTAACCAGGCTCCGGTGAATGGACCTACACTGAAGAACATCTGGGAACACAAATCGGACTCTACAGGCCACATTACATATAAGACAGTACATTAAATTTGGTGGGGGCAGTAGGGAAGGTATGGATAGGGGAGGGATCTAAAAACCATCAAAGCATACTGTATGAAAATTCAAAGATACAATTAAAGTTTGAAAATTTTTTAAAGATGGTTTTAAGCCAGGTGTGGTAGGCATGTCTCTAGAGGCAGGCAGATATCTGTGAGATTGAGGCCAGCCTGGTCTGCATAAGGGATTTCAGGCCAGCAGCAGCTACAGAGAGACTGCTTCAAACCCCCAGCATCTCACTGTGACTAGAAGATGAGTTTGTCCAGGAAAAGACAGGAGTAGTGAGAACTTAAATGATGTCTCTTTAATTATAATTATCTACATATAAATCTGGTAGCACAATACATACACACATATAAACATACATATTCATGCATTTTCATGCATGCTCAAACGATAGTTAGCCTGCATTTCAGCTTCCTAAGTGCTATGTTGCCTAGATACTGACCCCTCTGCTGTCAGGGTAGTCCCCCAGGCCTGTTAATACTGAGCACACAGTTTCATCACTTATCATGTCATAAAAAATATGGGTTCTGGTAACTATCAAGTGGGGCAGTATGGGACACGTTGCCTTAAAACAGCTCAGAATGAATGAGTGAATGAATGAATGAATGAATGAATGAATAAATAAATAAATAAATGAGCAATCTGTCCCCATCATAAGCTCCTCACCAGAAAGGCAGGTACGACTCACAGCAGCCCAGTGCATAAAGAATGCCTTAGCTCACCTCAGCTTAGCCATGACCACATTCCAAAAGCTCACCAAGAAAATCATGGGAACAGTAACTCAGGAGCAGAAACTCCAGAAATGGTTAAGAGTAATAACTAGTCATATGAGATGTGAAAACAGGATTTGAGCTATGCATGGCCATGGCTATTAATAAACTCATTAAAATTAATGCACTTTAAGCATCTAGAATCAGAGTGCAATGGTGAGAGCTAGAAGTGATCTAGATCAGTTCTTCTGGAGGGGAGTGGAGGTGGGCAGGCTCTCTCTAATCCCATGTTTAGTGCTCCCTACCTGGTTCTTGTTTGGATTCTCCATGAAGACACACTGCTTCATAATGTAGGAAACAACTGCATTTCCTCCCAATGCGGCCACGTGAGCTCTCACCATTGCAAAGACTTCAGCAATAAAAGCGTGGAGAAAACCGCTGACTCCTCCTTCCTGAAATGACATACAGGACCATCATATCGTATGTGTGTGTAGGAATGTACATAAAATGCCAAAAGACACATGGTGCAGATTCTAAATTATCTTAATATAAAAGACAATATTTAAAATTTTCCTCATAGGGAGGAATTTTTTTTTTTTTCATGAACAAACAAACCTTTAGTGAACAGATGTCTCTGGGTAAGGACTATAAGCTACTGTCACTAAAGCTCAGGTGAGCTGCACTTCACCTGTGACCAGTGAAGATCATATAGCTTTTACTTTTTATGGGCTTTTGGTACTGGGGAGCAATACCAGGGTCTTATGCATGCCTGGCAAGTGCTCTACTGTCAATCTACATGACTAGCTCTTACTACTGTTTAAAAAGTTTATTTTTAACTACATGTATATGTGAGTGTGGGTGTATGTGCACATGATTGCAGTGCCCACAGAGGCCAAAGAGGATGTTGGATCCCCAGGAGCTGGAGTTACAAGTGGTTGTAAGCCATCTAACACGGGTGCTTAGCAAGGGCAGTATGCATTCTTAAACAGTGAACTGCCTCTCCAGCCCCCTGTTATAGTTATTATTATACAAGGTTGACCTCAAATGCAAACTCACTGTCTCAGCCTCTCATTCACTACCATGCTCGGTTCAAACTGCTTCTTACTGTTCTGTTTTTCACATTAGCTGCTAACCTCTAATTCCAATAGTTATACAAAGTAAACACTCCACATGCATTTGCCACAGGATGAAGCACGTGGCTTGGAGTGCTTCTTTCTATTCAACACCATCTCATAACAGAATAAAATCAACAGTGCAGAATCACCTATTCACACACTACCAGGAGCACTAGAAAAGGGACAAATCTATGCTAGCTTCTAAAGTCAAGCATTTGTCAAACTTAAATGGTCTTTAGTTCTCTAGTCAGAGGCTCGGAGAATACTTTTGCATACTTTATTCTCCACTTGCACATAGAATATGATTAAAGCTGGTCATCTTGAAGGAAGTCTCCACTGAATTAACTACCCTGTCAGAAGCTATCTGTGCATTCACACAAAAACATACTGCGTCTACTCTGTGCCAGGCAGTGCTGGGAGAGGCGAGCACGGTGCAGAGACAGGTAAGAACCAGATACAGACATGCTTCCCATGGCTGGAGGAACAGCGCGGTGGATTCATCTTGACAATTAACACAGTTTTCCAAAATACAATCTACTGCTGAGTAACACATATAGATTCCTGGGTTTCACATCTCCATCATTTAAAATGTTACCCATTTGTAATAATAACCTGCTCAGCAGCCCTGTTCCATGATATAAGATACAGTACAATTTCCTTTTATGAGGTTAAATTCCTGTGTTACAAATGATATCACAGAGTGACCCTGACTATGAACTTTAATCACATCATATGAACCCTAAACAACAAATTCAATGATAAGCATGTGTTAAGAATGGGAAGAAACAGCAGGTCCTGCACTGGGAGGAGGAGTGGAGACAAGCAGCCTCCCTTATGGTCTCCACAGACATGTATCTATCATATAAGCTATGGTTTCTAAATGTGATTCCTTAAAAATTGCTATGTAAATGTATCGCAGGGACCGGCAGGATGGCTCAGCGGGTAAAGGTGCTAGCCATGAAGCCTGACAACCCAGGTTCAATCCCCAGACCCACACAGAGGAAGGAGAACCAACTCCCAAAAGTTGTCCTCTGACCTTCAAGTGCACATGCACCAACAATAAATAAAGAAAATAAATGCATAAATCTCGGGCATATACATACTGAGAAAAAGCTTGAGTTGTCCTGTCAGGTCAGTTTTCAATCTTAGATCAAAAATAAGAACGTTATTTGCTTTACAATAAGGACCTAGAACTTCTACAAATAATTGGGCTTAAATCTAATACAACTCTTGTAATGTAAGTTGCAGGTAGGAAATTTGATAAGTCTAGTTAAAAGAAAAAAATAACCCTATCCAGATAGGTTATGAATATGCAAATAGGTAAGTAAAATATAAATGTCTGTTGTTTGGAAGAAAAAAATAATTCAAAACTTGGTTTCATTACTACATCTTCTGAGAACATTTTTAAAATGAAATAACTTCTAAAAAATTACCTCACGAAGAGAAGTTGTTTCTCTAATAAAAAACATGTTAATTATCCCAAGGTATTTAGTTATTTTTGCTCCAGGAACAAAAGAAAGCGGTGTCATCTTAACAACCCCAACTGTGGAATTTGCACACGGCAGAGCAGACCGATTTCGGAAATTTCCTTCACCCACTGGACTCGCTTTTTCGACTGTGACCGCTAAAACGGAGAAAGACAAGATAAAATTAAGAGCAGGCACTGGTAAGCGAGCACCCTAAGGTTTCCAAGCAAGTGGAGATACATTCAGCTGTCTGAGGCAAAGCCATGTCATGAAAGAAATGATCATGCACCACATGCAATTTAAAGACAGAGAAACATGAGATGGTGGAATGGGGTTCTTGGGAAGGAAAACGGCATTCCTGCAAAGGAAACGTGATGCGGTGATGCGGTGTAGCTACGCACGTCGGTTACAAGGTGAGGAAAGAACAAGCGGTACAGCAGTGGTTATCTGCTGGAGAAACAGATTATCACAAGGAGAGTGTGAAAGTTGTTACAGTTCCCAGTATAATTTTTCCATCTTTTTCAGACGACTTCATCACCGTCAACTTGCAGATAACCCTTACATTAGCTACTTGTAAAGTATTTCTTTTCCAAACTTTTTGATTAAACAAATGTGTAACTTTGAAACCTTAACAAATGATCTCGGCTGTCTAAAAGATGTTCTGTAAAGTAACAAATAAAATAGCTACCACTTACTAAATAACGACAATAAGCCAGAAACATACACATGTGTTTCCAATCCTTACAGCAGCCCAGCGACATCAGTCATCATCCCCATGTACATGAGGAGAGGAGGCTCAGAGATCAAACAGCCCATAGTCATCCAGCCAGTAATTTAGCATTTCTAAGACTCAAACCCAGATCTGACTGGTCCTATGTCCTGTGTTCTTTCCTTTACAATGTAGTTCTTTCCCTTTTAATGTACTGTAAACTCAGACAAATATAGTTACCTCAAAATCTATCAGAATACACAGGCTGTCCAGAACACTAAATTACTGATCTCAAGTCTAACATAGGTAAATTAAGGACTCTCTCTGCAGACACACTTTATTGTTTCAGTACTCTGTGTCTCACACTTAGGAAGCTGACAGATGCCATAGGAAGTACAACGCTGGGTCCTGAAGAGTCTGGTCATTCCCTTCCATCTAGAACGATGGAATACTTATATAGAGCTATGAAATCAGTTCAACAACTATGAGTAACACTCTAAAGGCCCACTAATAACCTTCATAAATGACCATGAGCATCTGCAGCTTTCACACTCGAATACATGATTGACTGGCAATGCTATCATTAGGCAGTAGGGTCTAGCCTTCACCACTGGAAAACGAGGGATATGCTTCTGAGATCATCAGAACGTGGTAGAAACGTGCGCCTACTTGTCTTAATTGATCCGCGCCTTATGGTCTGAGCTTTCAGTTTAATGAGCTCTATCCAGCTGCTGCATCTGTCTGCAAAGGAACTGTAATCAACTGACGTTGCTGAAAACACAGACAGAAAACAAAAGAAAACACAAAGAAAAAATATAGATGACGTATCTTACTCGTCATAATACTCATGATGATGTAACCTAACTGTGACTTAGAAAAAGAATGGTCCCTGTCAAATTAGATCAGAGAGGTGGTGAAGAGTTGGGCTTTAGATACTGATTCGTCCAAAGCCTGCTCCTGATTAGCTGGCTGAGCACAAGGGTGTGTGGTCTCTTACTTAGGGAGACCAAAGTAGGGTCCAGCACATGCATCAACAAGAGGACCAAAGACTATGTTTAGTGATTTCCTGTACTTTTCATTTATAATATTTTAGTTCTTTTATTGGAGAATTTTAATTTACAATCCAAACATTGAGTAATCCACTTCCCTATTTTCAGCCCAAAATAAAAATAAGACCCAAGTGTTGAAATATGCTTGAGAGGAAAAACAAAAGAAAATGAAACAGCAAGCACCACCATCTCACAAGCTGACGTAGCTCTTACTAAAGTATCTTCTTTCCATTAGTAATCCAACTACCAAACCGGTGTAACCACCAAAGGCTCATTTTTGTCAATATTCCGTTTCCATGCTTGATTTTTGGAACAAAGCCTCTGACAACATGGGATGGGAAGAGGGTGGTGCCTGTTAAGTATCTTTTATAACTCGTTAACTTTTACACTTACACGTTAAAAAAGTTAAAGAGCTAAAACTTTAGAAGCTGGGAAGACTATTAAAATGCTAAAAAATTTAAATACTTAATGAATCTTTGGAAATATCTGAACTGTAACACAGTCACATTTGGTGTCTACTCCATTGTCCGGTGTCCTCCTACACCTGTAATTTTATGCACTACCAAACCAGAATCTCGCACCCTGGGTGACTATGTGCTTAGTTAAACAGACTCACCTCTCTGTGCAGCTGGTATACCTGAGTTAGAACTTGCACTCTCCAGGTGTTCTAATAAGACAATATGAACAACATTAGCTTGGATGCCAAGTACAAGGCAAATCTCTTCTTTGCTGTTTGTTAATTCTTCTATAAGCCAGAGGAAAGGGGGTAAATCTTTATGTCTTCATTATAAAACAAACCAAATAGAAGTATTAAGATTTAAAATGAAGTTTTAGCCCCATTAACAAATACCACGCCAAGGAAGACTGCTTGCTTATGACAACAGAAAATGAGTTTCATAATAAAATTCAGATGGCAACATGTTAGTAGGGCAATGGGAGGATGCAAAAAGACAGGACAGACGGGAGCTCAGGGTGCTAGGGAGGGTGGTCAGAAATGAACAAGGGAGGGGCAATGTTCAGGGCTGTGACAGCTAGTGCAATGTAGAAGTCACACATATAGAAGGTGATGATCCACACTCCACACATCAATAGTGCTTTGGCCAGACCCTCTTCACCACTAAGCCCTTCATTTGACTTTGTCAACAGACTGATCATCAGAGAAATAATGAGGAATCCAAACACAGATCATGCCCTATCTAGATGCCTGCTGAAGAGGGCAGCATCCAGGCTTCCTCTGGCTACTTTAGGTATTTGTAATTTGCACATTAAAGACACTCTGCAAGTTGAAGAAGCACCATAAAAACTCATCTACAAGTTGATGTGCTGGCTACTGTTCCAGAGGACCAGGGTTCAGTTCCCAGCACCCACATTAAGCAGCTCACAACCACCTGTAATTCAAGCTCCAGGGGGATCTGATGCCTCTGGTCTCCACAAGTACCTACATTCAGGTACATATACTCACACATAGACACACACACACACTCAGAATTTTTTTAAGAAACTTCCATCACTGTCATTGTTCATGCTCTATCTGCTCTAGCCTACTTGAATTTTTATTTCAATGAAACAAACAGAAAAAAACAGGGAAAAAAAGGTGTCGCCAATTTAGAAATAGCTCATCAGAAACACTGAGAATTGGGTCCATCCAGTTTTTAAAAAATATATATATATACTTTTTTTCCATTTCTATTTAATATACTGATTGACTGGTAGTATTTTCAAATTAAATGAGTTTAATTTTTCCAAACCAGAATTTGTACAGGATGTTTTTTTAAACAGAAGCAACCCTGTCATCCCTACCTGGTTGGGTAAAATCCTATTTGTTGAATACCATTTTTGTTTAGTTTACTTTCATGGTGTTTTAAGATGTATTCATTTTGTTAGTCTACTTTAAAGGTATTTTAGTTTGAAAATGATAAACCACATTCTCAACAAAGACTCTATAACTAAATATGTATATACAGTCAACATAAATTTGTGCTTCTTAAAATTAATTTACTTGGTATCATTAATTTTTAAGTAAAATCTCATATAGACTAAAAATGTTAAATTAACACCAAAATA